TTGTCCACAAAGGGTTCGTTCCGCCAGGACAAACAGTGAACCAACATTTTTACCTGGATGTGTTACGAAGATTACAAGAGTGTGTGCGATGAAAACGGTCCGAAATGTGGAGAAATGGGAACAGGTTGCTTCACCACGACAATGCTCCAGCCCACACAGCTTTGACGGTCCGACAGTTTTTGACAAGCAACAACATGGTGATTATGCCTCATCCACCTTACTCACCCGACCTGGCTCCGTCAGACTTTTTTTTGTTTCCACGGATGAAGAGAAGTCTGAAAGGAAAGCAATTCCATGATGTGGATGAAGTCAAAGAAAAAACGCTAAAGGCTTTGAACAGTATCCAGCCTCAAGAATTCCAGCACTGTTTTGAGCAGTGGCAAAAGCGTTGGAACAAGTGCATTAATGCACATGGACAATACTTTGAAGGGGACTAATATACAGTTCAATAAAAATGCAAAAATGCAAAAATAACAAAAATAAATTCCGGTTATTTTTGGGTCCCCCCTCATATATATTTATTAACAAACTTCATTACAAATAACGAAGAACATTTTCAGAGGAATGTGGATGTACATAGTGATAACACAATACACAAACACTGTCTTAATAAACCAGTTGCTAACCTCTCATGCTTTCAGAAAAGCGCGTATTGTGCTGGGATCAACATTTTTAATAACCTGCCATCTGATCTCAAAGGTCTTATGAATGAAAAAGCACGATTTAAAATAGCACTGAAACGATACTTAAATACACATTCATTTTACTCTGTTGATGAAGACCTATTGTCTAGAAAATAACTTGCGTATCTTTAAATAGCCTTGTGTGTAGTCACTGTGTATTCTTGGTTTCTCTTGTGTGAGAACACCATTGGGACTGTACATATGTTTTGTATTTATATGGCATATTCCACATCCTACAGTCATTTTGACTAACTTTGGATCCATGGAATGCAATGCAATGTAATGTAATGTAATGTTATCACTCTTATCACCATAATACTGTACATGGTTTAATTATAAAATCTTATTGTTTTAATCCTATTTCTAATCATGTTTCAATTAAACAAAATCCTCAATGGTATAAAAGGAATTCTGTAATAAGAATGTTGTCAACTTAGATTTAAAACTCTTTGGGTTGTTAAACATAGACTTAATTTCAGTTGGCAGATTGTTGAAGATCTTTACTCCCATATAACATATTCCTTTTTGGAATAGTGTTAAATTAGTCTGGAGGTAGTACTGATCATGAATAGATCTGGTATTAAATTTATGTACTTGGGAGTTAAATTTAAATAATTCCCTATTTGTTATGATAAACATAGAGATTGATAAAATATATTGTGCTTGTAAGGGGAATGGAATGGAATCGAGACAGTTTTAAGTTAGTTGAAGTCTAGTAGCTGCTGAGAACAGCTGCGAAGTAAGATGACACCCAAGATTAACGGTGCAAGAATTGTGATACTGAACGTGATAATAATTGTACTCTCTGGTGTAAAAGTGAGAATCCAATAAATATTTGCTAAATCCAAGACTTGTGTGGAAGTCATTCATTGCATTACCTAGGAAACACGCAACAATATAAAATAAATCACACTTTACTTTTATCTCCAAAATATCGAATGTCTCAATTCCTACACGACAGTATTCACTGTATCAAAATCCCAGAAGTAACTCTTTTGATACTTGCTATTCACCTGAAACGTATTTAAGTCAAATTTTCAACTATATGCTTTTTGAAACATGGATGCTTCTTTTTTCAATTTTTATCACTTCCATAAACCTAGGAAGGACATTTCTTATCCTATTTCTGGATGCAGTAGTTTAGTTTATATGTTTAGTATTGTGAAACTGGATTTCATTACTTCTCCATTTACCAGCCATTGCAAGACGCAATCTGGGTTTATGATGTTAATTCCCAAACTATCTTTCACATCATACAAACGATGGAGTCTGTGGCAATGTCATGCTGTCACAACTTGCTGAGTTTGTATATCAACGTGTTAACTGCCACTCCCGCGCTGTGGCATGGACTAAAAAATCTTGGCATTAACGCACAGACTTTGCTCAATTCCTATACATTTGTAGGTTCCATATCCAAAAAAAAAATCCAGTAAACTAGCATTCCTGAACCGATATCTGAACAGTTGCAGTGCAATGTCTGTCCAACTCAATGTGCTGAGTCCTTCTTAAGATGCCACCAGTTGCTCTGCTACCCAAAAATTTCCCAACATCTTATGAAAACTGAGGGTTCATTATCAAGTTCACAAGAACCCTGCTTGCAAAGTATAGATAGCACTGTTGCATGTTTTAGAACTACTGGGAAACATATATTTTACAATTAGTTATTTTCTGTATTTCCTCTTAGCAACTACTTCATCTGTGATAAAAGCTGTTGCCTTCTTTTCTTTCAAGGAGCATTCCAAATACCAGATCACAGAAGACATGTATGTCTGTCAATTTCAATTTCTTATGGTGTCTTATAACTAAGTTCATGGAGCTGAACCATTCTTTATAAGATGCCACTTGTGCAGATACTCAAGAGGTTCCTAACATTTTACAGAGCCTGAAAGTTCATTACCATGTTCACAAAAGCCCTCCATTGGTCCCAATCCTGAAGATCAATCCAGTCCATACCACCCCATCCTATCTCTCTCAGATCCATTTTAATATTATCCACCCACTGATGTCTTTGCCTTCCTAGTGGTCTCTTTCCTTCTGGCTCTCCCACAAATATCCTACATGCATTCCTTTTCGCCCCCATTCGTGCTACATGACCTGCTCATCACATCCTCCTTGACTTGACTATTCTAATTATACTCAGTGAAGATAAGTCATGAAGGTCCTCATTATGCAGTTTTCTCCAACCTACTGGCACTTCATTTCTCTTCAGTCCAGATATTCTCCTCAGCACCCTGTTCTCAAACACCCTTAGTCTATGTTCCTCTGTTAATGTCAGAGACAAAGTTTCATACCCATACAGAACCACAGGCAAAATTGTAGTTTTGTATATTTTAGGACAACAGACATGAAGACAAAAGGTTCTGGACTGAATGGTAGTGAGCATTACCTGTATTCGATCTCCTCTTAATCTCCTCCTGAATCAAATTTTGATTTCATTTGATCCAGGGTGGGGTCATTAGCCCCATGTCCAACCCCCAATCGGGGGGGGGGGAGACCAGGGATTACACTTCTGGTGGCCTTACCAGGAGCTGTATGCTCCCACCAACATATCTCTCAGGGTCATTGGGGTGGACAAACCACCTCTCCACAACAAGGCAGTAGTCCTTAAGGAGGAATAATTCAAGTCACATTAAAGAAAATATCAACTTTGATATATGCATATAATTCATATACTATACAACTTCTTTCCTTCTTTACAAGAACACCACAACAGTTTTAAATATCATTTATGGAAGAAAATTAAATTTAAACAATGTATATAAGGAACAAAAGAGAATAACTGCATAGGTCAGCATCCAGTTACATTCTGCTTGATTAATACTGACATCAACTCTGTAAATGCTCAAACATTTTGAATATGCTGTGCAGTCAGTCTGAGTTTCAAGTTTTAAGAAAATACTCTCATCACTACCCATCTATAAAAAGTGTGTGTGTGTGTGGGGGGGGGGAAGGTCCACTTATGAATCATAACTTCAGTTCTTACTAGAGTATATTTTCAAAACCCAATTTTGATCAACTATGGAAAGACAAAAGATTCCTAAAAGAATACAAGAACTGGAAACAGAAAAAAAAAGTCAATATATTAGAATCACCTGCCGATCAATCAAGTGGATGAGATCTATGAGGAAGAGACAGCAAGTTGTGGAAGAAAGACTTCAGGGAAAACGTTCATGCAGCATGTGACAAAACTTCAAGTATACTGAAAACTGTATTTTACTTAGGCACTGTCATAAAATTTAGTACTAGGATTTCCAAATAAAATCCTAGCTTAAAATGAATTTTGGTCCATATCTGTTATGCAAGTACACTGAACTTTCTGGAATCTCAGTCAATATTCACCAGACTGAACAAAATATTTAAATAAACTTTCAGTGTCATCCACATTTACCCATATAGAGCTAGGTATTTACAAAAACACGGTAAACAAACTAAAAAATGTTTGCTAGACCCCCTGATTTATTTTACATCACAAGTGTAGTGCTTTCCAGGCTTGAACACAACATTAAATGCTTCAAGTTACATTAAGGCAAAGCCTGAACCTGTGGTTGTATTTGCACAATGTGTGTGTATATGTATACATACGCACTACAAAATTCAAATAAGTACAGCAATGTGCACTGATGATTGAAATGTCTTCCAGAATAACCACAGGAAAAGATTTTAGTTGTCCCTGAGATTCCCTTTTATTCCACACTGTTTGTGACCAGTTGTGAACACTTGAGTACCAGATTGTGCATATATCTGTACTCAGTAGTATACATTAAACAACTCAACTAGATAATATATGAATAGAATAAAACTTATCTGATGAGATTCTTTCCATAAAACACATAAAATACACACAATGCATTATGTTAAAATACCATATTTAACTGAATCAAAGATAACATTCTTTTTTAATTCTGAATTTTAAAAAATAAGGAACATTTTAAATTTATATTCTAAGAATATTCCTCACATTATATGTTACTGATACATATATTTCAGTCCCTTCATTTACTTCATTTGCTTCTATTCACACATGTTAAAAGTGTGATATTGTAGTACAGCACTTCTACATAACTTTAACTAGGTAGAAGACGCTCAAGTCGGTATTTACGATTTTCAGTTTGGAGAAACTGATCACAGTACAAATAACTGAATAGCTACATGAACCTATATTATGGAGGTAAATGTGACAGCTTTTCATTCCAGTTTGAAGTTCCCAATTTAGCACATTTTCTTCAATTCAGGTAAATATTATATAAAACAATCATTGGAACTCTGGGAATACTGTAATAATGTGCCATTGAGGTATAATGAGAACTGTTACCGATGAGACTGACATTGTGTTCTCTGAGACATGTAGGCCACACCCTGCCTCATATGGCAGCTTAATGTCATAAACACCGTCTACTGAATCACACCTCTGACAATACTGAAAGACTGTACTCACTTCCCATATGCTATTATAGGGTCATAAGCATGTCTGAAAATAAAATTAAAGAATAATACATGAACCATAGAACATTCCTAGTTCTTTGAAACATTCCATTTTGGTAATATTCTTGCAACATTAGGCTTTGAGTGGCAATCACAAAACATTGCCAAAATACCACAATTCTCACTCTCTGTAGTTCTAGTAACACAAAGAGGTTCTGAACTCACAGCCAATTTGATCATTACAACAATAAAACATTAAGAAATAACAGGTTGGACTTCATTCTGAATTCCAGGAGCCAAATAAGCTGGCTCAGGATCCAATCCTGGATTTGAATCTAATCCTGCATAAACAGGTTCGCCATCTGCTGGAAAGAGAAAATAAACTTTATCACTTCCAGTACCATCACACATCAATAATCTACTAATTCTTAGATTACTGAACAATCAATGCTTTTCCAGTTATCTAGGTTTTGGGTTCAAGTCCCGATGAGGTCACTGGATTTTTTCAATTTACCTAATCCTTCCAGCCACACTATGGCCCTGGGGTCAACTCAGCCTCTAACAGAAATGAGTACCGGGAAGGGTGGAGGGGGTCATCTGTGGGAACTGTAGCTACAGGTCGAAATTATTTTGAAGGTTTCACCCTTACATTGCATTTGAAACCATTCAGATAAATGGCTGCATATTAACACAAGGGGAGTTTGCAAAATGTAAGCGGTAAGAAAATTAAGTGCATGGTGATGTCAAAATAATAGCCATTAGTGAAATTTATGAAGTGTGTTTTCAGTTCATTTCATATCTGAAAGCCAAATAACTGAACACTGGTTGTTATAGTTGATCATACTGTGCCTAAAAGAAACGTACCCCTGTTATTGGAGGTGAACTAGACAACGGTCACGCTGATGCTCTGTTGCCAGTTGAAGGAGAAAAGAAAGTCTGGTATTTTTAACAAAGTTTGTTTTTATAGGCAAACTTTGCCTCTTGATTGTACCAGTATTTCATGCATATTATCATTCTAACAAGTTCAGTATCTTAAGAGATATAAATGCAGTTGTCTTTCAAATTATTAAGATTAGGCCCTTCTTAAGAAGTTTGTTTTCAAGAATTTCCCAATGAAACTTCAACAGGCATTATGCTTGAAAGAATGAGGCACATGAACATCCTCTCCACTGAAATAAAAATAGTTCAGAGAACATTTCAATTGAACAGAAAAATTTTTAACATAAAATAAATATCTGGTGCCAAAATCATCAATATAGATAAAAAAATAACCAGTTATTTTAGAATGATGATTCTCGCATCATGAAGCTCAATTGAAACAAATATGGTTCATGAAAATGTTACTGTTGAAGTCAATAATAAAAGAATCAATGGACTTGTATGCATTAAACACTGAAATAATGATTTATCAAATAGTTATCCTCATAAAATCTTCTCAGGCTATCAGCTGTGTGAGTTACTTAAAAATTACTGACGTTCCAGGGAACTTCTGCAAAGTGTGACAGTCTTTCAAAATGCCAAAGTATGACTTTATAGAAGCAACCAGATTACTATTTGAACATGCTCACTGCTGTTATCTCCTTAAGTGCAAGCATACCATCTTCTTAGTGACAAAACAGTGTATCAGGATTAAAACCCAAGGCATTAAGAACATATGAAACAGAATATTATTTGCATATGCTCAGGAATTTGTAAAATCCTAGAATTTCAATTAAGAGACTTTTGGAAAATTCCATTACATTTTTATGCTGCAAGAACTACAAAAAAAAATTCAACGCTTGTAATGTTCGTTATTTAGAAACCCAACGACTCACTTACCTGTTCCTCTGGTTCCTATCTGGAAGGGAGCAAGTGTGGCTAACATAACGAGGCCAAAAGTGGCAGCACCACCACATACAAACAACAGAATATCACGGTAGTAGGTTGGACACACTGTCATGCACCTCCTGTCAAAATAAAACAGATGAGCATAAGCAAGGAACTTGAAATAAATACACAGAAGATGTTTTCAGTGACACCCTATTGTTCTTCCTTCTGACTGAGAAATCAAGTTTTACATCCATACACAACTCATCTTCATATCTTACGCAGTAACTGCCTTCTAAAAGAAGGTATTGAAGGAAAGATAGAGGGGCAGATAGAAGTGACCAGAAGACGTAAGATGATGTTGGATGACCTTGGGGACAGAAGAGGATATTCTCATTTGAAGGAGAAAGCTCTAGATCGCATTAAGTGGAGGAACTGTTTTGGAAGAGACTTTGGACCTGTCGTCTGACAGATTACTGATGAACGAATGAACACAACTCATCTATATATATAAAACACGCTGGTATGTTTCTACTCCTTGGCCGTGGAATGAGTTTGTAGGACTGCCAATGGGAGCCCCACCTGACAGCCCTATTACAAGAACTAGGGACTACATACGAAGCAAATAACTACAGAGAACATATACAAGAGTACAACACAGCAATGGCATTCACATCAATGGACACAGAAATTAAATCGCCACCTGGAAATGGTCCACAGTGTTACTGGATACACGGCCAGGTTTACCATTTGGTCTCACTGCTAGAATAAAATGCTGCAAATAACCGACATTCCAGTTCTGTTGAAGTGACAACAAAACAGCTTGAAAACCAATAAAACCATGTGTGCATGGCCAAAGTAATGCAATGACTGGACCAGATGCTGCGACAAGTTTACCCATTTGCTCAGTCACAATAACAAATGAATCAAATGAAATTTAGTATATGAATACATAAATAAATAAACCTTTGAAGTTTCACTATGACAGCATATGCTATGCCAGATGCAGCTAATAATTGCATAATACAGCAAAAAAATTCCAATAATGGAATATTTTCTGGCTCAAATCTTGTACAAACAAGGCCTAGTGTCACCACTTACTTTCATGCAGACTGATATTTCAGTCCATAAGAGAACAAAACAAATACTTACATGTCTTGAATCAATGTGACAGCAACCCCATTGGACAATTTGTCCATGAAACTCATTGCTCCATAGACAAAAGCTCCGCTCTCTATGTTTGGACCAATCAAATCAGCCGTGATACCCAGACTTGTCACCAACATGACTGAACTTCCTGCACCTGAATATGGATAGAAAACGCTGATAATTAACATGTCTAGGTCCAATGCCAAAACAAATACAGATCTTAATTTTTCATGTGGTGAAAATTTAAAAAAATATAAGATAAAATAATTCTAATTCTGTGCAATGGGATTCTCATAGCAGTGACTGTCAAGAGTATGGTCTTCTGGTATATGATGCCTTGCAGTTCGACAGATGAGTGCCAACATTTCAAGACACATGCCACCTTCATTTCCAGTGGGGAACATGTATAAGTAGATTCATCGAAAATATTGGTACCCATACGGTACTGTAGTTGGTTGAGGGGCTATGCTACAAGCTGGAAGGTCGCGAGTTCAAGTCCCGATGAGGTCATTGGACTTTTTTCAATTGACCTAATCCTTCCAGCCGCAATATGGCCCTGGGGTTCACTCAGCCTCTAACAAAAATGAGTACAAGGAATTAATTAAATAAGTTTACTGGAGAGTAAAGTGCAGCCGGCGTGTAAGGTTGACAACCTTACCGCCATCTTTGATTTGATTGTCTTGATAATGTGGGACCCTCAATGTCTGACAACCATATGGGCCTTCACGGCCTGGTACAAGGATAGCTTTACTTTACTTTACCCATATAACAAACCACATGGTGACATCATAACATCCCACAAGACATTAGTTCTTAAAACTGTCGTCATATTCACAAGACATTCAACAAGCATGCCACACACAGTAGTTACAACAGTATCAGCACAGGTGGCAAAACTCACCTAGGAGTGCTGCGACAGGATAAATCTCATACGTTGTATAGTTGACTCCGGATCCAAAGCGAATCCACACGCAGGCTGCAATACCCAAAGTTGCCCCAAGCAGGAATGCAAACTGCAACACAAACATAGAAGGTGGAGAGGGTTATGCAGGGGGAAGAGTAAGGAATAGATGTTATTATGAGGGAAATTAATTGCAATAGGGAAAATTCAGTTCATTCAAGTGAAGTCAGGATTCTGTGACAAGTCCTGCTGCTACCATTCAACTTCAGGACCCCTAACCAACAAATCAGCCAGTAAATCAATAAATGAGCAAGTCAGCATAGTCAGTCTCTCAGCTGACCATCCAGATATCAAGTCAGTCAGCTAGTCAGTGAGCTCAGTGAGTGAGTCGGTCAGCTTCATTTGGTTCCAGCACTCTCTTAGAAATCAAATAATTCTCCAGAACTGTAACACACAATACTTACATAATATATGCCATCTTATTCATTTTTGCTCCGTAATTTTTCAATACATTTACTTAAGCTTGAAATATTTGATGCAGCCAGTTAGTGTACAAATGCTTGTACATGTAACCTTAGGATCATAATGCCAGCATCTGTCAACAGAATTTTATAGTAAGGGAAACATGTTACTAAGGGGTCTATTGTCTGGGATATAATGCCACGTAATCCGTTCAAAGTAAACTGACATTTCCAAGGAACGTGTTGCCTCTGCTACCTCCATTACGTCAGTTTCTTGCTAGCATTATTCTTTGATCTCGAAGATGGAGAGAAGTCACCTGACTTTCAACAAACAACATGGAATTATAGGAACACGTGGCAGCGTAGTTGGTTGAGGCACTACACTGCAAGCCGGAAGGTTTGGTTTCGAATTCCAATGGGGTCACTGGATTATTTAAATTTACCTAATCTTTACAGCTGCACTATGGCCCTGGGGTTGACTCAGCCTCCAACAGAAATGAGTACCAGAAATCTTCCTGGGAGTCAAAGGGCAACCAGTGCATAAGGTTGACAACTTTACCGCCATCTGTGAGCAAACTGGGTAGAAGTAGGAGCCTCAATGTCTCATAACCCTATGGGCATCCATGGCCTGTTACATGGATACCTTTACATTTTTCTTTTACCTTATATCCCAAAGACAGAAATCTTCATAATCGGTACTGATAGAACCTCGAATCCCACAGACATTTTACTACTTTAGCAAAATCTGCAAATACAGTGGACATTCTATGTAATGTGGGTTTCAAGGGTATAATAAGGAACAATATATCAAGGTTCCTCTGCATTTACTGTCAGCTATATAAATGTGTCAGTGCCCTTTCTGCTACTGACCTTCCTGCCGCACTTCTTGTTTATAACGTTTACAAGCAATGACATCGTGAAGCTGGCGACGAACATCACAAGAGGTATCACAGCAAGGCTCTCTGCACCCATGCTGAGGGACTCATGCAGATAGAGTGGGATGTAAACCTGGCTAAGGTTCACAAACAGCCGCGTGGCCATGTACACCAGGGCCACTTGGTACAGCCGCACATCTTTCAACAGGAGGCCCGGGGATATCCTCTGGCCTGCAACTCGCACATGGCCAGGGGTGGAGCTCTCACTGACCAACAGGTGGAACACCATTGATGTCAGAGCACCTATACCAATGCCAATCAACACTATATGCTGTGGAAGTACAAGAACTACTGTTACATGGAATCACTGTGACATGCCTTGCATTTCATTCTGATGAGCAATACTATGTAATTCACCTGAAACTTTCCTTCATCTCCAGGACCAATCTGTGCATTGTTTTCACCAGTAACATGAAGGACAAGCCACGTGACAAGATATACCAACACATTGGAGCACACTGTGAAACTGTACCTGTTAACCAGAACAACATAAGTAGGGTTTGAGGTTTTCACGTCGGTGACTATGAAGAATGCCATCCTCTGGGATGTGGCGCCATGTAGATCTTGTGTGAACTGATGTTTCAGAGGAACGTATTGCCTCCATCTTCAGTGTATAAAATCTGCAAGCAAGGTACCAGCATGAGGAGGTGGCTGCAGATTGAACCGACATTCCTCCAAAACATCAGTTCACACAAGATCTACATGGTGCCACATCCCAGAGGATGGCATTCTTCAAAACAAATAACCATCAACTGCACTATACTATACTATACTATAGTATTCTAAATTCATTTTCACTGAATAGTAAGTTATACTACAAGCTCACTCCACTGATTTCTCTTTCTCTCTTTACTGATTCTTTGGTGCCTTCAGTATATCCTAACACAAATCATGAGAAAGGGTATGAAAGTAATTCAAATGAAAACATCAGTTTTGCTATAACATTAAAGGTAATTTCAAAAGCTGTGAATGCAACAATTAATATAGAACTGATATTAAGGTGTTCATGCTGCATTTTGTTTTCAGTTTGCATCTTTCAGTGGTTCATAAATACCATGAAACCAACACTGATTGTGCATCCAATTCTATACCGCCAAATTCACCTCCATGTCAGTACAACACTGGATTTTAATAAAAGCTCCATTCAAGCATCCGAATAAATGATAATAACTCAGGATTTCTCTTTACCATGTTCACAACAGCTGTGGGGACCACCCAGCCTCCTACAAAAGACAATATAAGGCAGTTTTTCCCTCGGAGCAAAGCAGCTGTAGCATGAAGCTGACCATTCACCTCCATCTAGTACCAAGGCTAAGAATGCATGGAGCTATATCATTATTCTCCCAAATCTTCATGGTGCCTAACCCTTTGACTGCCAAGCTCCACCACACAATTACCCGTTCCAAATGCCTAACTTGCTTGGGAGTATATGTGCTTACACAGATAAATCTACAATACTACCTCAAATGACTTTTAAATGACCATAGATATAGATCACGTAAATACCTGTTCCTCACTCTATTTTTCATTGTGAAAAATAACTGTAAATACAAAAGAAGCCTAGGCAATGCCCATTCGGCCCTCTGTAGCACATTCTTATAAACATCTTATTCTATTACAGCAGTCTCCTCACAATCTATATAAATAAAAACGTAAATGTTGGTTTGTTACCCCTCGAAGATCTTTGAAAGTTCTTCGATTGCTTCAAAATTTTGACACAACGTTGCATTCGAGCACACGCGTTTTTATATACCCATTATATACATGTCACACCTGTGACAGGTAAAAACAGGCGTCTTTTGAAAACCGGAATTGGAATTTGGAATTCAGAAGAGTCCCCCTATGGAAACGCTAGAACAGACCGTTGCATGGGAAGTAACAATAGCGATACTGTATCAAATCTCCATGGTTACAACGAATACATGGAGCATTCCCACAGAGACAACGCAATAACAATGGGTCGTTGCGTAGGAATCACGGAATCAACAAAGCAGCATTTCCGCGGTTATAACAAGGGCTCATTTGCATAGCAGCGGCCGAGGGTATTAAAGGGGGTTGAATTCATTCGCCCAGTCAGTCTTGGAATAGCTGCCGCTGAAGAAGGTTGGAACCTAGACACCAAGAGATACAGAAGTATTGGCCGAGAGATTGTGTAACCAGTAACTCTAATACTGCAAGTGGCGATAATTGTAAAGTGTGCAAGTGAATTACAATAAAGATTCGCTATAATTAATACGGCGTAAAGTTATTTGTAGCGTGACATACCCAAACACGCTACATGCATTACTGACACGTGCAACACGTCACATCCACATTGGAATTGAGCTGTGTCATTTACCATAGCGTTCATTTCGTGAGTACAGTTTATTTTTTTCTTCTTTCACTGTTTTTCATTTCGTTTTCTTAACTGTTTTCCTTATTTTTCAGTGCAATTGGCGGTGGAATTGAGCTGTGTCGATTGATCTGCATTTGAATTGAAATATTTCATTAGTATTTTTTATTTTTTTGTTTCTTCTTTGTTTTCCAGATCGTGTTCTTTCCTTTTTTAATGTTTTCCAATTTTATATGTTTTTGTTATAACTTTCTTTCTTCTTCTTCTTCAGTGCAATCGATCTGCTTTAGTTCATCCAAATAATGCCTCGCAGAAGATCAAACTTCGGTCGTCGTACTCACGGAGCGGAAGCAGTGCGACGAGTAATTGCAAATCAAACTGGGGAAGAACGGGCAGACTGAGCCACAGCAACGCGTGGCCGGGTACAGCTAGTTCCTAATATATATCTTAACTTAAATCTGAGAGTATACTGCTATTATTTTGTATCTTTATTTTTTTTTTCTTACATATCTATTTGAAGCACATTTAGGAACACTGTTTATGAAGTGACAGACGCCTTGCAGAAATCTTTTTTCTTCTAGCCTTAAGAGCTCTGTAACTGATTTTGGGTGTTCTTTTTTGCTGTTCTCGGACAGAATATCCATCATTGTTGCCCGCTGGTCCTCATACCGTTTACAATTCCAGAAGATATGTTCCTCTGTTTGCAGCCCATCACCACATTTGCATTTGGCCATGTCACATCTGATGCCATCTTTTGACAGAAATGTTGTGCTAAGTGATTTATAACAAGCTGATCTAACCAGTTTATGGCATGCAAATGGTTAATTAAGCACAGGAACAATTTTAACTTTACCTCACGTTACTGAAGTTTGGAACACCTTTATAATATAGCAACTTTGTCTGAATTCAGGCTCTATCCACAGTTACTATCTCATAAGATATCTATTCCAACCTAACCATGTCTCTAACCTATCACTAAATCTGGGTCTTCTTTACAATTATTGGGAGCCAGGATAGCGACTGGATACAGGCTGGATGACCAAGGGGTCAGAGTTTGAGTCCCAGTAGGACAGAGAATTTTCTCTTCTCCATGTCGTCCAGGCAGGTTCTGGGGTCCATCCAACCTCCTATCCAATGGATACTGGGGGCTCCTACCCTGGGGTACAATTGGCTAAGACTGGAGCTGAACATCTGTTCATAGACCTGAACCAGCCTGTGGCATCTCTATACAAGTTGCCAGAAAGGCAATCAGTGACTGGACAAATATGAAGCACAAGAAATACTGGGGATCCTTGACTGGACTCAGGCAAGCAAAGGGACTCATACGAGGACCCTCTGCTAAAAGAGCGAAGGAACTGTTAAAGTTAAACAGGAACCAGTTACAGTGGGTGGTGAGACTACTTACAGGACACCTCTTCAAACTGGGTAACTATTTCAATACCCCCACGTAAAAATCCTATGCTTCATTTGAAGTGCAGGATTGCTGAGGGTATAGTCAAAAGGGGAAGCACAACAGATACTGTAGGTAGCAGTTCAAGGACCGAGAAGGCCCACCCCTTATACATTCATTCATATCCTGGGGTAAAGCAGCCAGGGTGTGAAACTGACCACTCACATCCAGCTAGTGCCGAGGTCACGAAAATGTGGATCTATATATCCACTCCACCATTATGTCTTTATGGCATAGTGCTTGAGTTGCTAAGCATGGGGACAACTTTACCTTCTTTACAATTATTAGCTTAACAAACAGGGGTCCAACTCACATAAAGACACTGGTCATTATATTGTAAAGTTACCTCAAAATTTTCCATTCAAGTTGTTAACATGCACTTAACTCTCATCCAATAGCATCACACCACTTCAAACTGCACCAATATCTATCCCTACCTGATGGCAGTCAGTTCGGTGCGTTCGTGCTCACTTGGGGTTAGATCAGGTATCATCGAAAGGTGAGAGATCTGCACAGAGGCCCACCCAAATTGAAAAATAATAACAAATGCTGAGTAATAGACTAGTTGTGCCAACTGGTGGCTTCCTTCGCAGTATAGGCATGGTGAGAAAATAAACGGAAAGCTTCCCAAAACACAGACAGTTCCTGGAACAAAGTACAACAAAAGTATGTCCACTTTTATCACATCTGCAATGAAAAGCTATTGGCCTGTTATCAATACAGACCCACTTGCAATGTTTAAATCACTAAGTTTAGTATAATCTTCATTTAAAAACCAATCTGAACAGAATGTTCGCTTAAATGCGCCGATTAACTATATAATACTGTACAAAATAAAATAAAATTGGGCCCTGTATTGCCCACGACCAATTAGAAAGCAAAAGCAACCACTCCCTTAGCAAGTACAAAGAAAAAGACTGATAACGGGATCGTCACCAAACAAGACAATTCGAAAAGCATTAAGTCAAAGATGTAAACACGACAATCACAAGTACCTAACAAATGCCACGTTTTCCTTCGCCCGTACTTACACAGCCAGAAACCGTCATTCCGGTCCGACTGTATTCCTATAAAAGGTGTTGCCAGTGCGTCTGCCACCTGACCCACTAACAATATCACTCCTGACACGGAATTATCGAACTTCAGTACTAGATGGAAAAACACTAGGAGATACGTGAACCACATAGACGCACAAATGTCGTTTAAAACATGCCCAATGCCATAGGCCAGGCGTAATTTAAGGGGCAGCCTTCTTATTATTTCCGTATAGTCGTGTCGCGAAGGCTCCATTTTCAGTTATAACATTAATTAAGTCTTTGTGGAACCTTAACCTTAACAAATAAATATCTCAAGATTACATAATAAATAAGTCCTATGACAAACAACCGTTAAACCATTCCACTTTCTGTAAAGAAAACTGCCGAACTCAACAATGAAGACACCTAGTAATTCTAACCGTCCTAACTGAACGTCATCCGCACATGACTGAAAGTTTTTAAACTCATTTATACATCAGCAGACGTCACAACCTGCCACTATCGGTCACTAGGGTCACTAGCATCACATCCACGCCCTGGACCGTTCTGGATGCCATGAGCGCCATGAGTTTCCTACCACGGATCAGTAGCGACCTGATGAGCAATAAGACCAATAAGACCATCTCATCGATCAAATCCCACTCTTTCGCTCTCACACGGGCTCTACGGGAGTTTCGACAAACTGTAGACGACACACCCACTCAAAAGAGCAGACCATGTGACGTACAGAAATTAATAAAATCACTTAAATTAAAAAATGCCTGCGGAATTGACGGCATCCTAAATGAATGCCTCAGGCACTTTCCAAGGCGACCATTGGTTCATCTAACCCATTTATTCAATCACTGCCTCCGGCTTTCTCATTTTCCAACAACTTGGAAGGAAGCAAAAGTAATAATGTTACCCAAACCCGGTAAAGACCCAAAATTCCCTCAAAATTTACGTCCGATCAGCCTCCTGTCCACGACAGGAAAACTATTCGAAAAAAGCAATTTTGAAATTCCTCCGTAAACGTATTGAAGAAAGAGGCCCGATCAACGCAAGCCAGTTTGGTTTTAGTGCACGTCACAGCACGACATTGCAATGTATGAGGCTGGCGGACCACGTGACCCTTAATTTCAACAATAAAATGTCTAAGGCCGCAGTGTTCCTGGACATCGAAAAGATCGAAAAAGCCTTTGATACCACGTGGCACTCAGGATTGCTGTATAAGTTATCAAAATTGGAATTCTGGAACAGTTTGACCAAACTTATTGGGTCCTTTCTTTCTAAACGTAAATTCAGGGTCTCGGTTGAAGGCGAAATGTCAACGCCAAGGGAAATGCAAGCAAGGGTGCCACAAGGTTCTGTCCTTTCCCCTAACATTTTCAAGTTGTACATAAATGATGCTCCCCAAACTCATGGTGTTCATCTGGCCCTCTTTGCGGACGACGCCTGTCTATATGCGACAGATCACAAGGAGGGTTTTATTCGTAGAAAACTCCAGCGCGGTCTCAGCTCAATGGAGACCTGGTGTGAGCGCTGGAATATAAAAATTAATGAAGATAAGACTCGGGGGGTCTACTTCTCTCGTGGTCGGCGACCGTAGTCTTGTCTTACTCTAAATGGACGATATATTCCATTTGTAAATAGTGTAAAATATCTAGGTGTAATCTTCGATAAGAGAGTTTCATNTTCGCAACATTGGACAAGGCGAAGCCCGCCACAGGAAGTATAAGAGGCTTAAACTTGACGGCGGTCAGGCATATGACCGTTCAAGTGACTAGCCTGCCGTGATAACGAATAATACTGGAAATAGGGCGTAATCTGCTGTACTGAGCCTGGACTGACAGAGGCCTTGTATATATTGTACATAAAAGTAAGAAATAAGTGTGTATTGTAAATTTATGTAAATACAAACAGTGGACATATTAATAAAGACTGACTGACAAATGACAGACCTGACCTCTCATCAGAGAGGGCACCCCACATAGACAAGACAGTAACTTTCATTCAAAAGAAATATCTGGTCATGAGCCCCAGCTGGGGCTCGACACCTAGACAGACAGACTGACTGACCGTCAGTTGCAACATGACTTTGACTTTGACTTTCGATGTTCCCACAAGGGTAAAGGGCGGCTGGCATGTAAGGCCAACAACCTCACGTCATCTGTGAGCAGATTGTCTAGAAAATGTAGTAGCCTTAACACCTCACAAATCCTATGGGCACCCACGGCCTGTTACAGGGAGAGTTTTTTTTTTTACTATGAAGAAAATAGGCCTACAGGTTAAGCAAAGTAGCAGTAGTAGTGTTACTGATCTACGTGTAGGTCTTTATTCTATGAACAGGAATAAAGTCATGTCCAGCTGACAGCTTCACTATAGCTAATGTCCCATTTCTGGGCTCAAGACAGTGCATGGTGTTATGTACATTTTGGTGTTAAAACATAAATATCACATTATTTTATTAATGTTTCAACAACTTAACAAGGTACCTTACCATGAACAACGTTTAACATTTAATTAAATTTAAAATTATGCTGAAAACTGTGGTGTAGCAGCATTTTTCTGGAGGATTACTAAGCTGGGCAAGAAAAATAAGTTGGGGCAATGAAATGCACACTGTTTCTAGTAAAGACGTGACGTTTCGCAGCTTTAGTTACATCCATCTTTCAGAAAAATAATACTTTGTGACTAGGCCTTGGCCAGAGGCCACTGTTTGAATCCTGTCAGGTTCAGGATGTAATTACCTGCAACATTTTATTTGCTTGCATTGCTTCTATAGGCGATTAAAAGGATACGCCCAGAGAAAATATTATACAGGTGTAACCATTGTTAATAGCAATAACCTAGCAACGAATAGTGAAATCAGACTGAGGAAACTTAGTGTGCTGTTAGAATGTAGTAATTAATTTTGTTTTCTAGTGAAACTGCAAAATATCAAATGATAAGCTACCTTTCTGGGAAGGGGCAGGCATGTGCACAGTACCATGACTGGGTAGTAATATAGAGCAACAGCAACAGGTAATGCAACAGCAATTCACAGGCCCACTACCACCATACCAAATCATAAAAGCCAGCTACAATATGATACCTTTGGAGTAAACAACATTTAGAAATACTCCATGAAAACAATGAAAATAATAACACTGAATATGAGCCAGAAGTAAGAACAAACTACACTTGGCAACAGGTAAAGGAAACGAAGAGATCTAACCAAGCCCCAGGAACAACAACAAAAGAAACCCCTTGCTAAATTGAAGTACATCATTCAAAGCCTTGCGGTGCTCTCTGTATGGTTCATTCCTATCATACATTAGCTGTGAGACACATTACGTGTGAAGCTTTTATATCAGTAAAAATTGTTCTGGATTTCAAATCACAGGCAATTGACAATTCCAGACTATATAACACTTAGAAGAACTCATTAAAATGGCCTCTACTTTTACATCAGACACTTACTTAAGCTGCTTGCAGTTCTCATACATATATTTCTTCTTATGATTTTTAGATACATTGTAAAAATCCCATGACAAACACAATGTAATATGACACAAATCGCAGGAGGTCACCCATATTCATGCGGTATATCATCACCACAAATGGTCGAAGTATTTTGAAGCTCCTGTGGAAACACATCCCATTCACATGAAATATCTAACCCTGAAATCTTTTGTCTTGTTTGAACATCAGCATTCTTAGCCAGTGAAGATACTCTAGCTCAGGCCATCATTATGACTGTATCAAAACTACTTCTGTCATTAATAAACACAATTAATAAATGTCACTTAAACAGTGTTTACTTCTGGTTCATGTAAACATGAAACTGAGACCTACATAGCTGCAGAAGAAGAGGAACTATTGCGTTGTGGTCAGCATGATGAAAACAGCAACTACATCCTCAATCTCGGTGAGGCAGGAGGAACTGAGTAGTGTCATGAAATGCATTAGAACACAGGATCACAGGAGCACAAGATAATGACATGTGATGGTGCTGTCAGCAGCACAGTAAATTTTGTGAAGAGGGTACAATACAGAAAGCAAGAAAATTTGAGGTCAAATAAAATTATTTCCTTGATTTCTCGAAAGAAGACAGAGAATGCAGACTGAAGTAGTTTGAGAACAGGCTATGCACGAGAATATTAATATGTCGGAAGAAACAAAATTTTCTGGATAAATTGAAATTCCATATTTTGTAAATAGGACATATAAGGAACACACGTGTGTGATGTGAAATGCATACAGATTTTATCTATGAAACTGCAGTGAAGAGACAAAATAGGGAAACATAGGCATAAATGGAAGGGTAGTGGTTTTTTGTGTGTTTATTTATTTATGATCTACTTAAGGACACTGTTATAAACTCAAACCATATAATTCTACATAGCAAGATAATTATTGTGTAACAAATTCCAAAGTAGATGGAACGAGACTGTTGTGACATAATTTGTGATACTCTCATGACATGTGTTTTGAAGGTCTAAGGAAAATCAGTAGGAGCCTAAGTCATGACAGACACTCTTTGTTCCGTAAATTGAACCTAGGGCCTTCTGAATATGAAGGAGATTTTCTAACCATTTGAGTTCTTCATTCAGTGGGATCACAAAACTTAAAGGCATCTATATGAAATACAGTGTGCTAGCATGGACGATATTCATCTCTTCAATACGTAATAATTCAAATGCCGTCGTGAAAGCAACAATTTATTTGCTTGTAGTTATTTGCTTTTCTTCCTCTACACTACATGTTTCGGCCGTAAATGGCCATCATCAGGTGTTTTTTTTCACTACGTAAATGTCACATTACACACAATCCCCAAATTTAAAACACCAGGTTGTCAGTTTTGTTTAAAATCTCGCCAACGTATGCTCGTCAATTTCATCCTAGAATTACAGTTTAAAATTTAAATATAAGTTTCTTTAATTTAAAAATCAAATTTAAATTTTTAAATGCACAGGGATACCTGCTCTGTGTTTATATGTGCTGCAGCGGCTACATTTTTTCCAGCACCGTTCATGTATTATTCTGTGCAGGCTCCCCGTGTGTGTGTAGCTGCTCATCTTTATTTATTATCTTATTAAAGATGGCAAAATATAGACCACTTTTTGTTCGAAATCTATGTAAAAAGTAACTGAGTGCTACGAAGATTTAGTCAAAGGGGTGATAGAAAAAAGGACATTTGCATACAACATTATTTTGAAACCATTTAAAATATTTTTACGTATCGCGATAAACTTGTCAGTCTCTATATTATAATGGTATATGGGGACATATTTAAAAATAATTTTAGTATATGATATATTTTCTTCTCTCTTCTTCTCTTTTCCAATTTGATTCTTTTAATGCTGATCAGAGTGGGCGCATGGCCTAAGACATGCAAAATTTTCGCCCGCTCACACCTGGGATCATGTGTTCGAATTCAACACGACACATGAATGACTACAAGCGTTAATTCTGTTTGTGTTGTCCTGTGTAGGTGGCAGTCTAGCGGCTATGTTGATCTG